TTCCCCACGGGCGCGCCGCGACCCCTCCTGGCACGTCCCCTGCTCGGTGGAGGCGCAGCTACTTAACATGCAAAGTTTCCTGCAGCCCGCCCGGCTCGCTCGTGATCATTTCAGTAGCTGAACTGGCTTCTTTCCCAAAAGGCTGCCGAGGCACACAACATCTTGGGGACCCATTTTGCTCCCGACGAACACGCTACACGGACCCGGAGTCTCCTCTCTTGCAAACTCTGACCCCTTCCTCGTCTCTCCCTTCATCGGGCCCCCTCCCCAGCTCCCCGTCCGTCCTCCCCCGCCACGGCCCGGGATCCCAGTCCCTCTCCCAGGGCTCAGCAGTTGATCGCTCTTACCTTTTCCCTCCGCCACTGGGGCTTCGGGAGATGATCCAATGACCAAGCAGAGGAGCCAGAAAGCTCTAGCTGTCATTTTCGCAGACACGGTTCCCCAGGCTCTAACGCCGAGCCGGGGCTTTCTGCTGTTTCTCTCCCCCCACCCCTTCTCCACACCCCCACCCCCTTCATGCTAATGAGAGGCAGCCTTTGGGGAAACGGGAATCACTCACTGGACAGACCATCGGAGCAACAGGGAGCCGCAGGGATTTCTCCCACGTCCTGAGGGCGACAGCACGTGGCCTCCCAAAGTCGTCCCTGCGAATGTGTGTCCTGCGGCCTCTGAGCAGCGATAACATCAAAATCCTAAACTTTAAATCCCGGAGGGTTGGCGGGCTGGGCTGGGGGGGAGGGGGGAGAGGGTGGGTTGGCAAGTGGAGAGAATAGGGTGTTCAGGGGTGAGGGACAGGGCGGGGAGAACGGGTGAGAGGGAGTTTGTTCTCATGAAGTCTGCAACAAATAAGCTCACTAGCGCTTCAGACAGCTTGGGCTGGTGGCAGGGAGATCTCAGATGACAAAGTCCCTCGCAGAATGTGTCAGGGATTCCAAGAGAAACAAGTCACCACAACCTAGGTTTGGTTAAACGATTTTACTGTGTAGACAACTTCCATATTCTAGAACCAGAAGGAACAAAAGCCGTCCGCAAAATAGCTTTTCCTCTTCCTTCCCGCACCCCCATTGAAACTGGTATGTAGTTGGCAGGATTCAGCAAGCCGTTCCCCCCGCCAGGTGCTCGGGTACAAAGGTGAACAAACACCTTCCCAGGTCTCTAGTGATGGCTCATCTCCTGCAGAAAGGTGAGTCGCTGCTGAGGGCTGAATTCTGAAACCGTCCTGGGCTAAGGAACCTCCTCCTCAGATTGCACCGAAACAATATTCACCGAGGGCAGAAGCAGGCTCAGCCTCGTAAACCCACAGCCGGCCCCGCGTGTATCTCCTTTCAATGGCTCCAAACCCAAAAGCAAGGGGACGTGCACTGAGAGGAAGGCGTTTTCTCAGAAGCCTCTCAGCCAACAGTGAGATGCAGCGGCTGGAAGAAACAGCCAACTTCTGCTGCACTGACATCTCACGTCTCAGAAATAACAGTGCGCGTGGACTGACCAGATGCTGGGGGGTCGAGTTTTCCAGAAAGACACTGGACAGCCAGAAGGAGAACAATGCGTGGTGAGAGGGCTGGACTCCATCCTGTGTACGTTCTTTTGGAGGAACGCAGGATTGGCAGTCGAGACACAGGAGAACATTTGTGTTTTGTGAAAGAACTCGTAGGTTAAAGTGATGAAGGGACAAGTTTAACTTCCCTCGAGGAAAATATTGTAACGACCGAGATCTCCAAGGGAGCAGACGGAAGGGTGGTGACAGTGAGCTCCTGGCCGTCGGGGGCGCTCAGAGAGAGCATCGTTCAGAGATGCTGTAGAAAGTGTCTCCTGCATGAGGTGCATTGTGGTTTGAGGGATACAGTGAGGTCAGTGCCCCCTGGAGAGGAGCTGTTTGTCCAGCCACAGGCTGGCAGGATGTTGGAGGGGGCCCCTATGTTCCGTAGTCTGGTTCTCAACTTTCCTCCGCTTGTAACCCAGAGGATGTCAATGGATCAGATTCATGGGATTGACTCATGTTAACCAAACTGGTCAAAAGCAGATGTATAAACCAGAACGTTATTTATTAATAGGCAATGGAGGGACTATAGTAAAGGTGATTCCGAGGTCTAATGATTAATCAGAAGGTTGTGTTTTGAGCACTAAATTAAATTACAGCTGAAGGTAGGCTAATCTTTCTCATTCAGTTTTGAGAGGAGGACTACACCTCTCCAGTCCCTGCAAGGCTTGAGTACACCAGTCAGTGTCTCCAACCTCCGGCCAGGACCACATACACTCGGTGAAATTCGTGCTTTTGGGGGCCCAGTTTATCGATGTCCTGAGCTCCCCTTCTTTCACATGTTCTTTAAGTCAAGTGAAATAGAATTAATTAGGCTTCAGCTTTCTCAGTTACAACCACATCTCAGACATACCTGCTGGAGATTATATTCAAGTCACACAGATCCAATTTGGGGTGTTGGTGTTCCAGAAACTCTTCTGTTGCAGGAATGTTGTGAATGCCCCAAAGCCCACACCCTGCAATGTCGAGGCAGAGACCAGCTGCACGGCGCCCACATCGCCTCCGGGCTCCCAGGTGGCACCACCCTGGAAGAACTTGCAGGGTCCAGGGCTGGGCAGCAGCTGGCTTGCAACTTCCGAACCACACAAACGGTGGGAGGCACAAAGAGCTCAGAGACGGATCTGTGTAAGCCAGAACGCCACTTACTAATTTACAAGAGATCAACCCAGGCAAGTGTGCATGCTCACGTCAGCCTGGCTGACATTCCCTTCCTATACACAAGCCACGTGGGAAGCCAAATTCTCATCACGATGCTTGGTAATATAAAACAGAGCACGAGGAGTTTGTCATATGATTGGAATGTCTAACGGTATTGGTTTCTCATAGCCTAATGTGTCCATCTCTATAATAGGGGTGTGTGTGTGTGTGGGGGGGGGTGTGGGTGTGTGTGTGGGTGTGGGTGTGTGGGTGTGGGTGTGGGTGTGTGTGGGTGTGGG